GGATGTTAGTGGGGGTGGTATCTTTCGTTGGGCCAACCATGCCATTAAGATTGTTCTGCAATGAACAGCATTAATTCTGTTTGACAGCCTGGGATTTAATAGTGCCTCATAAAACAGAACTGTGCAATGATGATGTTGTCTCTGTGCAGTTTACTTATTGTTACAACGTTCTTGAGTAGATTGGGGAAAAAAAAAACTTTCAGAAGAGATTTTATAGGTGGGAAATAAAATATGCTAAGATTTGTACTGATAACAGATACATTCTAATTAACTGAATTCATCCAGTATGCTCAAATTGTGCTATTCATTTAATAAGAAAAATACAAAATGCTTAGCTCTCTGAAAATGTGGTTGTACATAAAAATGCCCTGCGAATCTATGGTGGTTGGGACACCACCACAGCAAGCTGGGCATATAGAAACAGCCACCCCCCTGTTGGCACTGGAGGAGCAGTTAGCAAAGCAGACTACACTTATGTTGCCATTTTGAGAATGGGATGGGGAGTGTGGCCCCATCAGGATGGAAGAGGGGACCAGAAATAAAGGTGTCCAGGTAGCGGGTTAGCCCCTGCAAAATGCATAGGCTAGCTAATGCATGCTTGCTGGTTTGAAGTTACCGTATAGTACAGGAGCAACTAGGACTTGTTTGCACTAGCATAGTGAGGAATCCTTGTACTAGCAAAATGGTGGGAGATTATCACAGTATTTTGGAGGAAGATACAACACCCAAGATCTGGGTGCATTGAGCTTAATAAAGAGCCCCATAGATCCAGAGGTCACAGAGGTCTGATGAGATGGTTTACATAAGTCAGATCGTAAATGTGTTAAAATCAGGGAAAAGGCAGCAGGGAAAAGGCAGAAAAATGCATCATGTGACTTCTGCATTTTTCACTGCATTGTGCAACTTCTTTTTAAAACCTTAGCTTCTATTTAAAAAAAATAATTTTCAGTTTCCAAGACATAGTAATCAAAGCATGTGCAGACATACACGTGGAAAAATCTTGAACTTTTGCCTTTAGCTATACAATATCAAGAGGAACTCTCCTGCTGCATGTGTAGCAATACATTTACTTTTTGGGTGATGGTACACACAAGTTGTTGTACAAATCTCTCCCCACTTCTGTAGTGCAGGTGGAGCAGTGACTTCCATCAATGTTAGTATGCCCTATGCTGACTGGTTACGGAAATTTTGTACCGTTATGTGCTGAGTTAGACTGCTTGATGGTAAAATGCATTCTGTCCTGTCTACACTAATGATTAGATTGTAAGGATACAGGTATTTCTTGCTATGATGAATTTTGACAGAAGACACAGGTAAGCCGTCCATACAGAAATATTGGCTTTCAAAATTATGTTGTTGTTGGAAAGGTTTTGAAAAAGAAATATAACTCATTGCCACCAATGCTGGTATTGGGGCAGGTGCTGGGTAGTGGGGTGACTTCCACTAACATTTCCAGTCTAGAGGCTGCAAAATAATGTGAAACAGATACACCTATCCACACCCACAAAGAGATGCAGCATGCAACTGCGGGGAGGGCTTTCAGCTCCATAATGGGAGCAACAGAAGTGCAAATCCATTCATCCCCACCCTGTCTTGCCTCTGTGGTGTGAACTTCAGAGTTTACAGGGACCATTGCACTCAACGGGCCTGCTCACGTGCTGATTCATTTGATTTGACCTGATCATGGGCAATTAGCAGTTATCTTCTTTCAACCTTGTCAGCCATGCTTGGATCACTGAATGGAACCTGTGCTGGTCTAATAAACGATATCATCTCTACTACAAGTCCTGATTGCCTTTTTCTCTAGACCAATACGGCTACAACCTGGATACATTCTTCCCTTTTTGTCACTTAAAAAAAATCTAAATAGTAATTCACAGGAGTGGGATCTAGCTAACAAATTGAAACTGTCCCACTAGTACCATGAAACACCTGTGATATTTTCAGACCACTGCTCAGTTTTTCAAAATAGAGGCATCACTTTATGGTTCTGCAAGCCTAGCCCATTTTAAAGGATTGTTTTAATATGAATGTTGCATGCAAAGTTTGCTCAGGATGAAAATCATGCTGACTTCTTATACGAGGTTAAAACAAATGTCCAGACACTGCCTTGACAAGCTTCTTTGGGTAAATGTGATCTTTTATTAGACCAACTAAATAGCTGGGAAAATTTGTTCTTTGCAAGCTATTTGCAAGCAATTTTTCCAACTATTTAGTTGGTCTAATTAAAGAGATCACATTTACCCAAATAACTTTGTCACATGTATCACATTTAGTTGGTCTAATAAAAATAAATCATATTTACCCAAAGAACCCTGTCTACCTGTGTCCTTTGACCAACATAGCTATAACCAACACCCTAGACCAGTGGTTCTCAAACTTTTTTGTTTGCGGCCCACTTGAAAATTGCTGAGGGTCTCAGGAGACCACTTAATTTCCATCATCAGAAAAAATAAATCAAGTGCAAGGCTAAGTACAGATATTCTCGATTTGTTCCGCAACCTTTCTGCAGACCACCTGAATGGAGCTTGCGGACCAGTGGTGGTCCGTGGACCACAGTTTGAGAACCTCAGCCCTAGACCAATGCTTCCCAAGCTTTCCCTCAGCATGACCCCATTTATGGCCCCATTTCTTTAGCATAGTCCTTCCCCCCCAACCCCCAGCCCCCCCCCCCCGTGACCCCATTCACTAATGTGACCCAATTCAAGGTTGTGACCCACAGTTTAAGAACCGCTGCCCCTAGACCAGTGTTTCCCAACCCCTATGCTGTGGCACAAAAGTGTGCCATCAGAAATGAAGAGGCGTGCTGTGGAATTTTGCCTTGGCAATGAACTGCAAAAGGTATGAGGATGGCGACTGCCTTAACAGCTGTGCCAGGGAAAATGTTTATTAACGTAAGTGTTCCTTGGGCTGGAAAATGTTGGGAAACACTGCCCTAGACGCCATCCTGTGTTACATCTAATTGTTGCTGTCAAATCTACTACCAAGTTTTCTGATCTGTTTTAAGCGTTATGGTTACAATGCAGTTTATTTAAAGGATTCAGAGATCCCACGGTTGGGTCTTTTTTTGGGTTATTCACTGGTCCCAGTCTGTCCTCTAACAATGAAAGAGCCTGGCTTTAATTCTTAATGTCTGTGAATTGCTGCCTTGCAATGGCAGTGCTGGGGGGGGTGTTAATAAGGATCCCAGTAATGACAAGCTATAGCTCCTAGCCCTACCCCAAGTCACACCTTGATACCATAACATGGAGAATGACCCATCTCTCTGACAGACTGAGGAGTGACTAGCCCTGGTGATTACACCCCAGGCACAGTCGCCCATGGCCTTTCCCACCTCACTTTCCAGCTCTCCTGAAAACATAACCAAGGGGGGGGGGGCTGCATTGAAGTCCAATCCTGTGTGTGTGCGTGCATGCATGTATGTGTGTATGCGCCCCAATATTTTAGGGTGGTTGCATTTAAGACCAATCCCTCTGCTTGTGTGAACCCCCCAGGTAGTGTGTGAATATTTGGGGGGGTGTCCCAATATTTTGGGGTGGCTGCATTTAGAATTCAACCATTCTGCTCGCGTGCGTGTCCCAATATTTGGGGGCGCCAATCCCTCTGCTTGTGTGCGTGTGTGAGCCTCCCGTGTGCTCCTGCCCGCGCTCTCGGCTTTCCGCCCCTCCCCACGCGCCGGGGCGATGCTGCCCGGAGGGTCCCAGCCTGCCCCGAGCCCAGGTCCACGGGGAGGGGGCGCTTGCCCTGCCTCCCTCCCTCAGGCGTCGCCGGGCCTAGGCGGCCGCCTCCCCCCCCCAAGCAGCGGCCGGGCCCGTCACGGGACCACGAGTCACGACCCGGGCTGCAGACAGCCCAGAGCCAAGCCGGGCCGGGCCGGGCCGGGCCGGGCCGGGCCGGGCCGGGC